CCAGCAGCCTGCATCTGCCACCAGCAGGTACCAATGGAAACCCCTGCCAGGCAGCCATGCCCGTCAAACCATCTACCCACGGCAGAACTTTCCATCGAAATATTACGGAACGTCCACCAAGAAACGCGAAAGCTCCGTCGTTTATCCTTGATGAGCACTAGAACGCGTTGGCCACCGACTCAACGGAATTTTCTGCCCGCTGTGCCCACCAGCAGCTCCCATTAAGGAAAAGTGATGCTGCTGGAGAGGAGAGCGAGCCCCGCCGAGGCACGGGAGATCCTGCAGAAATTCCAAGCATTTCTGTTCTCTCTGGCTTGGCACCGCGTTCCCTTTGCTATTTGCTCCTTGCGGGGAAGGCAAGATTTCACTTACGACTCCGCGTACGTTTCCATGACAAACTACTTCCCAAATCCCTCGAATCTTCTACCGGCCAAATCAATTTCTTTGGAAATTCACCTAATTTCCGCGGACTGAAACACCGTGTTTATTCAGGGAGGGATTTTTCCACGCCTTACGCTCCTAAACCCCCTTTCCTGCTCAAACACCCCTTCCTCGATCTTCTTCCAGCCTTTGGAAAGTCAACGATAGAGCTGAGAGGAGAAATCCAAATCTCCGGCACCGGGCTGCTGGGCTCCGCACGCTCCGTGCACGCTCCTTGCACGCTCCATGCACGCTCCTTGCACACTTCCCAGCTCCCTCGCCCAGGAATCCCTCTGCTTCCAGTTGCTTTTGCTGGAGAGACGCGACCAACGCTCACCCGACACCACGTCTCTGCCGCGGTGGGCAGCTGGACACCGAACCAGGCGTTTAATTATTTCGATGCCATTTAATTATTTCGATGCACTAATTAAGACCACCCACAGCTCTTTTTACTGTAAAAACAGTCATGACAAGCAAAAAATTATTATTATTTTTTTTATGTCCGCGATGCCTTTAACGCAGTCGATTGGCGGCGGCGTTAAATCGACGCGGGACTCGTGAATAAATCACGGGTCGCAGCTGGGCTTAATTACCTCGATTATTTATTTATTAATTATTGCCAATGATTTCAACGGCTTTTAGACGAACGACACGGCAACGCTCCTCCGAAGGGGATTTAAAAGCGACAATATTCACAAAACCGACCTGGATACACACGTTTTTCCAAGATGTTTGGCTCGTCCCGGTGTTATCCGGACTCTGAAGATGAAGATTATAATTTAGCGCCGGGATTAAAGGAGTTTTCCCCTCTCGGGGTGGGGGGAAAAAAGCCCTTAATTTCCATAATTAATTCCAATATATTTGTTCCAAATGTCCTGGGAACGCATCGGGGCTCGCACCCACCGGAAAACCACGGGACCCCTGAGCACCCCGCCGCCGCAACAGCGTCCAGGCGCCATCCCCGTGCCCTCGCTCTTCCTCACCTTCCTCCCCCGGCCGCGGGCGCCGGGCGCATCTCCTCCCCGCGACTTTCCACCACCCTCCCGAGCTTTAACGCCTTTAAGATCCCCGTTCCGGTGATCAACTGGACCGCTTGCAATCCCGCAGGGATGGGGATGAGGGATGCAGCCCAACCCCTCCCCGCTCCTCCCAGCTGGGTACCGCCGGCACAGCCGGGGATGGGCGGCCGTCGTGCCGAGCGCGTCCCGCTGCGAAGCCCTGGGGTCGGCGATGAGCCTCCCTGGACCTGGCACGCTGCCCGCCGCCGCGCCGGCAACGCAAGCATCTTCCCGAAAAACGTAGGCAAAGGTGGGCAGCTGGGAAGCTGCAGCAAGCCTAGAAGATATCCGGGCTTCAGAGCGAAGCCTCCAATGATCCTAAATTTTCCAGCCAGGAAACTGTCCTTAGAACAGCCACCCAGCCTCTAAAATCGTGCAAAAACCAGAAAACTCAATTTTTTTACTAATTTCTACCTAAATTAGGGAATAGGAAGACAGGCTAAAATCCCCTGTCCCTCAGACTTCATTGCTCTTCCCTGGAATTTGCACGTACGGAATGACACGTTTACGGCGGATGTAAATATTGCACCGCTTCGATTGTACCTGGAATTTTAAATTCCTGCTCAAGCGCTCGTGTCTCACCGCTTTTCTGACATTAGGGGTCACCGTGGTCTCTCCAACCCTTTTTCCACACTTGCAATCTCTGTTCCCAGCTTTTCCGACACGCCGGGAAATCTCACATCCTCCTTGGTTTCGTTTTTTTTTTTTTTTAAGAAACCTGCAGATATGGTCAAAACCAATTCCTACGGAAATTGGTGGGAACGAGACGAAATCTGCATCTTTTGGGCAATAAAATGGTTATTTGGAGAGATGTGACATCAAGTTTCCCAGTTTGCGTGTTGACCTCGGTGATGCTAAACTGGGTTTTGTGGTTAAATCCAGACTGGGCCACGTCCTAGCAATGGTCTGGACGGGGTAGGATGAGCTGGATGGCTTGGGCTGAGCTCTCCTGGTGAGGCTGCACCAACGCCGGTGTGAAACCAGCCTGGCACAGCAGAGAGCACCATTGGGTTTGTGTTGCGTCACGTGCTTCTCATCCTTTGAGGTTCTCCTACTGTGCCCACAGGTCTCCCTCTCTTGTCCTCCTTCAGCTTTGGTTGGGATGGGCTGACGCACCTCTCCGACGGAGAAAACCAAGAGGAACTGCAACGTGAACAGGTTTTACGCTTGTTGGGATCAGGAGGACACGGACTGATCTCGCTGCCGGTATTTATGGACACCGGATGTCACCCACCACTCTTGGTGGGATGATGGGGGGCTGACAGCTCCGGACGGAGCCGTGTGGCAGGAGACCAGCTCCAAGACCTGCCAACCTCTTCCCAGGATTATCTGGCACTTGGGTCTTTGCTGTGGGCAGGATCACCCATCCGTGGAAGAACCATGGAGAAGGTGCAGCATCTACCACCAACTGGATGGAGTCATAGAATCACAGAATGGTTTGGGTGGGAAGGGACCTCAAAGATCATCCAGTTCCAACCCCCCTGCCATGGGCAGGGAAATCCTCCACTACACCAGGTTGCCCAAAGCCTCATCCAACCTGGCCTTGAACACCTCCAGGGATGGGGCATCCACAACTTCTCTGGGCAAGAAGAGAATTCGTCCATTGGATGGATACAACATGAGCCATGGGGTGTCCTGGAAGCCTCCCTGTGTTGGGGGAAATTCAGAGCGATGGGAAGGCTGAAGTTTTTTTTAATGGTATATTTTTTTAATGACAGGAGAAGGCCACAACTTTCTGGGACTGACCGATCCTTGTCTCTGGACGGCGCTAGGAGATCGCGTTTAGCTTCAGGCCCACCACCACCAAACCTCTACGTGAAATATCTCCGACGTTCGCTGCCCGAGCGCTGCCAACTCCTCCTCTCTCAGAAAAGCTGCTCCCATGGCATCCGCTCTAATTAGTGGCAGCAGAAGCTGAATGAAGACAAGAGGGAGATAACGAGCCTCCCTGTGTCCCCCCGCCCCGTTCAACAGCACGGAATTTTTCAGCCACCCGGAGGGGGAAAGCAGAGCTCTGAGACCCCCCAGAGACGATGAAACCCCCCATTTTCTGGGCAAACAGCAGCAGTTTCTGAACATCATGCTGAGTAGAGCGCGGTCTGGTGGACACCTTGGAGACCCTACGTTGGAGGCCACGAATCCGCAGCAAAGGGATGTGGCTAATAAGCACACGCTGAAACGAGCTCGGACGGCTGTTGAGCTCATTGGCTGGTAGCTCATTGCTGAAGGCCAGGTTGACCTTGCTGAAGGTCCGCGTTAGCTTTGTCTACCTGCCGCACCTGGCCACCGCACTCACCTCATCCTCTTGGTTTGCGATCAGCAAGTTCTCAAGTGACAAGAGGACAAGCCATGGGGGCCAGGTGGGTCTCCAGCGAGCCCCCTGGGATCAATCTCATTAGGAACCGACCAGGAGCAAGCAGAAGACCAGGGTCTTCCAAGGTGGCAGATCCACAACACAACCTGGGCGCCGCGCACAGAGGGCACGGACGTCTGCGGGAAGCTGAACGCCAGACCTCCAGGAGGCAACTGGGGCTCCTTTCTCCACCTCAGATGTGTGATTAAACCAATCACCCCAAATTGGCTGTTTCCGAAACCCAAATGTCATGGAAACAGAAGAGATTTTTCTTTTTTTTCGAGAGGGCGGAGGGAACGCGGAGCAGCTTTTGTCCTTAAGAGGAACGAGCTGCAAGACACAAAGAGACCACAGGCTCTGGGATGTGATGGGCCACCTACCAAGAACGAGATCCATCTCTGAGCCATTTCCATAAATAGCAGATCAATAGGGGATCTGCTGTCTTTGTCTCCGTAAGCGCGACGACAAGTTCCTACCATGGTGATGTTCAGCTCTTGCCCACCCCGAGCAGATGTCACACACCCCGGAGCCCAACCCTCCTGCCTTCCCTAAGGTGAAGCCCTTCAACCTCTTGGTATTTCCAACCTGGATCATTCATCTCTGCTATGAACACCCTCGGGCTCAGCCTGCGGCTTGGTGCCACCTCCCCCAGCTCTTTCCCACCAGGAGATCTCTCCCGTTGTCTTTGACCAGGCTCTGGGATGTGATGGGCCACCTACCAAGAACGAGACCCATCTCTGAGCCCAGGTGCGGGGCGTTGGGGCAACGTGCCAGACCATTCCTCCCCTAGGCTAACCTCCACCCATGGAGATCAATCCCAGGAGATGGGTGACTTTGAAGCTGCTGATTGCTCCCACAGCTGCGCCAAGGCTGTTTGAATCACTTCTTCTCTTAGAGAAGAGCTTTTGGCCACGGAGCCAAGCTAGACCTGCTGCCCCGGTTTGCATGCGAGCCACCAGATAATGCCATCAGCAACACGCTGGCTTTGAAGAACAGGTCCTGGGAGCTGGAGTTTGGCTGTTTGCTGGAAGCCCTTCAGCAAGAAGGGTTGCTCTTTGCTCAGAGGGACACTACGGTTCCACCACTTGGTCACTACGTGTGCGCGACTGAGATAAGTTACCTGGTTCACGTTGAGGATGAGGAGGGTGGTTCACTTTTCAAAGCAAGACGACGGTTGGGTGCTTGGCTGAGCATGGAAAAAGGGCAAGGCTGTGGCAAAGAGCATGGAGGAAGGTGTGCCCAGCTCCATGGTCTGGACTCCAAGCTACATTCAAGAAAGATGCTCCAGCTCCTCAAAAATGAAGCCATCAGACAGGTGGACTTTAAGCTTTAGCTGCATGGGGAGAAGAGAATGAGTTTGCCTCCCTTCTGCCCCATGGAGACTTGGACTTGGGGCAGAGGTCCCAACCCAGGAGGTCACACCGCAGCCGTACACCCACGAACAGTGACGAACCCTCCAAACCACTCTTCAGTTTTGTTCCAAAACGTGGGATTTGAATCTCGTGGCTCTCCAAGGAGTCACTGGTATGAGGTCTGCACCTCTTCGATGCTTCTGAAGAAACGAGGCAACGGATTTACCTTCAAACACCAGGAACGGGCGCGTTTATTTGCGGAGATGCCTCAAGGCGGGGTCTTCACTCGCAGTTGGATGCCTGAGCAGAACGAGGTGGCGGATGAACCCAGCAGCTGGCAGCAGCATGTGTCCCTGTGCAGGACAGCTGGGATGGTCACCGTGCCGCTTCTGCTGGGCAGGTGGCTCCTCAGCCAGCAAATGTTTGCCGGCACGCTTGAGCCACGCGTCTTTGTCATGGTTGGAAGAGGAACGTGGCCTCGTCGCCGCCTTGGCTAAACCTGACACCAGCGATGAAGGGAGCTTCAGCCCAGAGATGCTGAGCTCCCGTCCCCAGGATGGGGTATGGGCTTCCTCGGGAAGCTCGGATGAATTCAGAGGTTGCAACCAGAAGGGGATGGAGACCTTCTCCTCCCCGGTGTCATGGCTGTATTTGTTCTCACGTACCCAGTTCATGGCCAGCTGGCAGGAGCCACGTTCAAACTCTGATGTGGTGGCTTCTCACCTCTGCCCCAGGTTTCTTCCAAGCTCCAAGCTCCTGAGTTTGGTATCTGGCTTCACATAACTTCTTCGCCAACAGTGCAAATTAAACCCGTTCCCTGCAACCACGTGAAGGCACTAAAGAACCAACAACCAGATAGTCTAGGCCCAGATGGAGAAGGGCTGAACGTGGTCAGGGCAAGAGTTGGACATTGAATACTCCCATGGCTGGAGAACAAATCCAGCACCATCTGGAGCACACAGCCCGCATTGAGAGCCAAGAGATGAAGAGAACCATAGAAAGATGGCAAAGCGCAGCCATGTCTCAAAGCAGAGTTGCCCAACAGACAAACACAACCAGCTCCTAAACCTCAGGTGCCTGATGGGCCACACGAGGCTCTGTGGAGCTGTCAGAGAGATGGTGTCAAGTCTTTTGGAAGTCAACCCCAATTCCCTCCTTACTTCCATACTTGCTCTGCTAGACAGTCAGCTATGAAGTGACTCCTGTTGACCATGAGATGTTGCGAACCATGAGAAGATCACAGACTTCTTTAAACTCTCCTGGCTGGGGAGGTCAAGGAAAAACTGAGGAAGAACACATCAAGCGCACTACAAGGATCCCATGCAGATGTAGCACTTGCTGTCCTGCTCTCCTAACACTCCCCCAGCAGAACCAGGATCCACTCCTCCCTGCTCATGGGTTGGACATCCTATCTGTCTGCTGCTGGAGAACAGTCAACTGATCACCTCTGCTTCCACATCTGACCTAGGAGTTACAGATCAAACAGAGCAGCCACGCCAAACTGGACGTGTCCCTAGAAGCCGGACATTATGCTCGAGTGAACACATTTCTCAACTTCTCCCACAGCAGAGT